TAGCATCAATATATAAACTGTTATGTTTTAGTGAGATCTCTGCTCCGCATAAATATGTATTTTAATTTAACTCTAAATTTCTTTTACAGAAAATTGCAGTTTTAAACCTTCTTCTCAAAAATTGTCTTAAAATTAAGAGACATGAATTTTTGAGTGTTTATTTTGACTCCTTCAAAACTGCATACTCAATTAGACATATATGGTACATATGTATGTCCAATGTTCACAACATTTTCATGAGTACAGATTTTGGTATGAATATTGTTGTCTAGAGAGTGCCACTGTTCTTATTATAAGTAAGTCAACTTAGTGCGATGCAATTTGCTAATATGGTAACCTTAATAGAAATAAGAAGTATGTAATTCTTGCTCAGCGATGGCAAGTCATTCCCGAACAAATAACTAATGTTTCGGGGACTTAGTATGTATGTTTTAATTTTTTAAAAGTTCGTAATGAAATAAAAAAAAACGTATAAAGAGTCATATCTTGAGATAATAATTGTACTATGTTTATTTAAATGAGTTTTTACATAGAAACTATATACCATAGTGAACTTCACTATTTCAAGAGTGAAAAGGAACACATACCTCAAATGTTAAACTACAAATTTTTGATACTTTTTGAACAGAGTGACACTTTAGGATTAAAATTTTAACTAAATAAATATAATTATTTGCTTAAATCTCAAATTGCTTATATCAACACACAAAAAATATAAATATACATTCTTCCTTCAGCAATAATATATTATATATTTTGATCATACGCTTCGGTGAAAAGGGGGATGTCCCGTTTTCAAGCTTTCTGTTCAGTTGTAACTAAAGAATACAGATTCATCTCGTTTTTGGAAACTGATTTAATAGATTTTAAGATCTGTGATTCGCGTTTTATGAAAAGCATCATGTTATTGGGGTCGATTCGTAAACTTTCTTTAAAATATGTGATTGACCACCTGAGCCGATACGATTCCGATTTCAACGAAACACTTCAGCTTCTTGATTTGCTGTTTTATGCTATAGGATTCTTTTACAAAATAATTTAATCATTATTTCCTTGTTTAAAAAGAATAAAAGTTATAAGTGTTTGAAGACTTAAAATTGACCCATTTAAAGGAAATAAAAATCTGACCATCTAAATTTATTGGTATTCAAAATTTATAAAAAATTTTACTTGAGTCTTTAATGACTGAAAAAATTTTTTTGATGTTTTCCTTAAAAACAGTTTTATTTTTAAATATTTTTAAAAATATGAAAGAGAAAATATAAATAACATCATACTTACATGAATTAAGAGATCGCTTAAGCTGTTTTCCCAAAAAGAAGGTTTGTTTTTTGTAATTTCCCAAAAGAAAGCTGTCGTAAGGAAATAAGTTTTAAAGCGTTTCATTTTATAACACCTGCAAAGTGCCTTCAATAAACAGAAAGTAACTTTTAAATGTTGGCGGTCATGCAACAATTTGTTTTCACCATGAGGATTGCATATCAAAAATGAACAGTATTTTGTTCTTTTATTTCCGAATGAAGGCTTCGGAACTGCGTACCAGGTCTTATTTCGCGTTATATAAGACTTGAACGAATTTAACTTCATCCAACTTTGTTTTTGAAACATTATACCGGGAACAAAATCAATTAAAATTTTGCGGTTATCGCAATGAGCATATATTGTGTGAGTTAAGCCTCGAGTAGAATACTCCAAAAAGTAAACGTCTCTATTACAGCCCAAAACTCGATAATCCAAATTTTCTAAGCCTGCGCAAAATAACTTACTAATCCAATATTTCAGGCATGATCTATCTAAGTAAAAATAATCATTCGTTAAGTCATCTAACAAATCATACAGACTGTCATAAGTTTCGTCTTCACTCATTTTGTCCATAACATCTTTTAAATTTATATAAATAAATCCAGGCCGTTCATCATCTAGTTCCATTTCTACTAACGAAGAAAATGGTATTTTTAAGTTAATTATAGCATCGAATTCGTCTGGTATATTTATTGGAACCTTAGTTGATTGACTTCCTGAATTTTTTATAAAAATTAAAATCAAATTATTTGTAAATTATGTGAATACATTCAATTACCAAATAAAGAGGTGCCATTGAAAAGGTCACGGAAATCTTCATCTATTTGACAAATACTAAGGAATATCTGATCACGTATGACTTCATATTCTTTAAAGTATAATTGCCTGTCACAATCTGATATTTTTGTGTCGAACCCAAGTAATGTTAAGTGTTTCTCAAATTGATACATTTTGGTACGCTATAAACAGATTCAAAACAAATCGTATGTAAGTAAAGTAGTACTAAAATTTATATAAACGGCTATAGAATAATAATTCATCCTTGATATCTCAAAACTTAACTAAATTTATTTAAAGTGTGTTTTTATGTCAGATGTAATAATCCATTGATTATTCGAAATATTATTTTTATTTGTTAACTATTGCTTGTTAACTGCACTAAAAACTCGCAAAAATGTAAATACTAGTACAAAAAATTATTATAGTATTGCCTGGGATGTGATCGGACCATTATGTTTTTAGTGTATTTCGAATTTAGTTACATTCTGTGTGAAAAAACAGAAATTGAATTTATTAGCTTCCATGTATTTTAATTCATATTTGCCAAACAACTGATTGATATTGAATCAATCATATCATAATATTGAATCGCTGGTTCAATATTGAATTGATGGCGTCAAAACTATTATAACCCACTAATATTGGAATCGCACTGGCATCGCAGTTAAATATCTTCACATGTCACTTCCATTAATAATGGACAATTAATAATTGAATGCTCTCCATTTACAAATTCTTAATTTTTGTGTATATTATGAAATTAAACTAAAAAATATGTAAATAGAAAATTGTTGAATATAATCACAGGAAAAAAGAAAGAGAAACCGAGAAAGCAGAGAGAGGAAAGATAGAAAGGAGAGACAGAAAGGAGAAAGAGAGGAGGGAGATAAAGGATAGGAGAGAGAGAAAAAAGAAGAGAGGGGAGAAAGAAGAGGGGAAAGGAGAGATAGAAAGTAGGAAGAGAGAAAAAAAGGATAGAGAGAGAAAGAATAGAAAGAAAAAGGAGAGAAAGAAAGAAAAGAGAGACAGAGAAAAAGCAAATGAGAAAGAAAGAAAGAAAAGAGAGAGAGAAAGAAAGAAAAGAGAGAGAGAAAGAAAGAAAAGAGAGAGAGAAAGAAAGAAAAGAGAGATAGAAAGGAGGTAGAGGAATTCCCTAATGCGTCCTGGAACTAAAGGCAGAAAGAAGAAATTGTACTAAACACATAAGGCTAAAGCAGAAAAAACGACGGGCGAAATCAGAAGAATAGTGTAAAAACTTCAATAATGGAAGGGAAGTTTTTACAACACCACATATTACAAAGGAAATTAAAGGGTTTAATAATGACAAGACATATTCTATGAAAAGCAGGTAGAGAGAGAAAGAGAGTGAATACATTACCAGAGAGAGTGACTCTAAACACATCAGATTAGATATTCACGGAACAATCACTTCTAAGTCTTCTAACACAAACGAAAATATTGAAAACAGAATTGATCTATGCCCTTGATGAGTAAAAAAAAATAACAGTTATTAAAAAAAGATATCAGAAAGAAATTATTACTGTTATGTATGAAAAATTCTCGACATTACCTACTAAGCTAATAAAATGAAGTCAGAAATTTAGAGTGTCCTTATAACAAATTGGGCTTATTTTCTTTTTAACATTTTTATTATTCAATTAAAATAACCTGAAAAGCCCCGAAGAGACTTTCCCAAAATTCAATCAGCCATTCCATCAATTACCAATGTTAAGCAAAATAGTTGAAAAAGTGATTCTTTTAAGATTCAAAGAATCAATAATATTGAAGTAGAGCAATATGGATTTCCAAAATACAATTTCACTCAACGACAGTTGTCCAATGTGTAGTTCAATGAATCTAATCATTAGACCTTGTCATGATACAGCAAAGGCACTCGAAGTTAATAGTCAAAATGGAACGTTTTCACAAAATCTGTACAACTTCTTGAAAAACCGTAAATTTCGATCATGTTTTCAGTCCATAATGTTAAGTTTAATGTGAGTGTCCATCGT